GGTAAATCAGAGGTGCATTTTTAGACCAAACGGCATTCGAATCCACTTGGAAATGTCCGAACGGACATACGAAAGCTGAAGTCAACTTGGCCCTTTCGGTCATCTTGATCGCCCAGAACCCGCTGGCCATATCCATGCCCATGAACCAAAGTGCTTTCTCGAAACCAACTAGCAGGTCGTCGATGAGAGATAGCGGGTAGCTAGACAGCTGGATGAAATTATTCACAAGTCGATAGTCGATACACATCCTGATGTTAACTCCATTTTTCTTGAGCACGATCACGATCGGAGTTGCCCACTGCGATTCGGAATGTTCAATCAGATTGTTCTCGAGCAATTTCTTGAGGCGTTCGTATACCTTGACTGCCACGTGCGGTCCAATCGACCTTGGGCGCAACGCGATAGGTTTGGCCTCTTCTACATCGAGGTCACATACTACTCCTCTGGCGGGAGCAGTTGCGGCATTTCCATCGCCCAGGAACAAATTCTATCACGCTTCAGGATTGCACGCATCCTATATTCATCTTCGGGGAGGTCTCACCTGGGACTCCAACATCGACCTGATCGATGTCACATTCTGGGTGCAATTCGCTCAATTCTGAAAGCATGACCAACTGGTCCCGCAATTGCGCCAGCATCTCGCTCCCTTCATGTATGTACACCCCTGGCTCCAAGTCCAGGTCTTCCGCGCTTACCCTCATACAGTGTTCGTATTCCATCTCCAACTTCTCGAGTGGCCTGCAGAACGCTGGTTCTGGGGTGAATCCTGAAGCATCCTGTCCAGGTTGTACCTCCGCGAACGTCTCGCAGCCATGGGGTTCCTCGAATTCAGTAGTCCATTCTGGAGGAGTATCCACAAGGATACCACCTCGGGCATCGTCCACGGTGTCGCCATCACCAGGATCGCATTCGTAGCTATCTAGTTGACTTTCGCTAGTTTGTGTGGCGACGTCGATCCTGATTTTCACCGGGGGGCCCTCTTCCGTCTGCGTACCCGCATCCATCAACTCTCCACGATTCAACAACTTGGAACCCGGAGGGCCTTGCAACTGAGCAATTCTGACTTCAGCAGATCCTGGTCGAGGTCTTAGCATGATCTTGGTTGGCCATTGGTATTCTATTTTCGGCACACACGGGGGTTCTCGTTCTCGCAATGTCTATTCCCTCCTTTCAGCCCTGAGTCTATCTTGTTCTGACTGGGCGTGCTCCAGGATTAGGGTCTGCCATTGACCGTACCCTCGTGTACCAGGGCGGACGAAACGCCCTGCCTGCAGGAACGACCCATACTGCACGATCCTGGCTAGTGGTGTTCCCATATCAATCCAGACACTATGCTCAACTTTTATTGCCACTGGCCAGGATCTGGCCTCATACACGATCTTGGTCACCCACCTGTCACCTCGTCCAGCCCAGACGA